GTCATCTGCCACTGAGCACACGGCCTCCTCCAGTGCCCACTGCTCCTTGAAGGCCGGCACGGCGTGGGTCAGCCGCGCATGGCGGAACTCCAGCCACACCCTGGCTCTGACCAGTGCGCTGGAAGATGCCCAGGCTGCTGGCCGGACGTTTCCCCTCCACGACCACCTTCCTTGCCCTGTATATGGCGAGCTTGGCGTAGCCGACGAGCACGTTGACCAGCCCCTGAAGATGTTGGGGTCCGTCGCCCTTCGAGTGTCCAAAGATGAGGACCGTCGGGGAGAAATGGAGGCTGAACCTTAGGAGGATGTTTCTCAGGACCTTGAACAACGAGTCCAGGCTCTTGCACTCCACGTTTTGGTGCGCCACCGTCTCCACTTTACCGCAGAACCGGCACTCCGGGGACGTGTCGGTGAAGCGCGCCAGGGAGGCGTTGGTGGTGACGGTGCCGTGGGTGATGCCCCAGCTGAGGTCGCCGATGCGGTTGTACGTCGGGCTGGAGTAGAGTTGCCTCCAGCGAGGCCTCTCTGGAGAGATGTAGGGCGACCAGGCATGGTCCTTGTGGCTCTTCAGGGTGTTCCGTTTGCTAAAACTGGACCATGTAGGAGTAGAACACCTTCCTCTTTGTGGTGGTGGAGGGTGGTGGTGGTGGTGGGGGTGGTGGTGGGGGTGGTGGTGGTGGGGGGGTGGTGGTGGGGAAGTAGTCGGTGTGGGTGCGCCACATTCGTCGCTCGCTACTGGGGGGGGTGGGGGGGGGGGGTGGGGGGGGGCGACCACACCGGCGTCGCCCTCCCCCCCCCCCCCGAGTGAAGCGCTGCCCCGGCTGAGACATAAAAGTGCAGTCGAGACGTGCGCACGCGCTGCTTGGGTTTTAGTTGAGTTAAATGATGTGCGCGCACGCACGCATCGCCACTGGTGTTGGCCGTGAGCGGGAATCGAACCGGAGCGGTAGTGCAGCGGTTAGCGCTACGCTGCGCGACGAATCTGACGACCCGGGTTCGATTCCCGCTCACGGTCAACACCGGTGACTATTATCTGAACCGGTTGTGGGCTTACCCTAGGTCGACTCAGCATCAAATGAGTACCTGGTGCGATGTGTAAACATCGCCACTAGGGAGACAAAGGCGGCCGGGCGTGGTGTTGGCCACCCACCCCCTCGTGTGCCGTGCCGGCCTTCATAGGTGCTTGTTAACAGCACTTGCCCCTACAGTCTGTTACAGGCTATGCGGGGGATCTTTGTCTTTGTGTCATCCATCGCTCGCACCACCACCGCTCCATCCCTGATCCATCCACTCCGCTATTGATCCTTCACTAACTCCATCACGGATAACATCGCTCGCTCCACCATTCATAACATCACTCGCTCCACCACTGATCCATCACTCGCTCCACCACAGATAACATCGCTCGCTCCACCATCACAGTGGCCGTGGCTTGTGGTCGCGTTCTCCACCCCACAGCAGGAGGTAGCAGATCAGCAGTTGGCACGTGCAGCCCGCAAGCAAATCACACGGGGGCAGCGATGAGAGCGAACAAATTCGCTTCAGCGGCCACGGCAGGAAGAGGGATTGAGTGGCTCATTGTTGGGAGTGGGTGGCGGTGACAAACAATGGCCTCGTTTCTGTGCGCAGGATATTAGAGCACAATACCTCCGTGCGAGAGTTTGATTGTGCCAAAAAAACATCGATGCTGTTACCCCTCGGGCCGCTAAGCCCCGGTCTCTACTGCAGCATCGCTGAGCCAAGATGCTGTTGTGAGGCACGTGGGATCTCTTGCCTCCACGTGGGATCTATTGCCTCCACGTGGGGTCTATTGCCTCCACGTGGGATCTCTTGCCTCCACGTGGGACCTATTGCCTCCACGTGGGATCTATTGCCTCCACGTGGGATCTATTGCCTCCACGTGGGATCTATTGCCTCCACGTGGGATCTATTGCCTCCACGTGGGGTCTATTGCCTCCACGTGGGGTCTATTGCCTCCACGTGGGATCTATTGCCTCCACGTGGGATCTGTTGCCTCTTTTCCGGAGCCACCTCACGGCCGACTGGGCCCAGATTGGGCCGCCCCAAGAATGGACCCAAAACCTGGACCCTCAGTGGCTAGGAGATGTTAACTACCTCGTCTGGTATGCAAAGAGGTCGTGGGTTCAATCCCGACCTTGACGCCTGTTGCTGTATATTTGGAGTTTGCGGGGTCTCTTTCCCAGTGGTCGTGTGGATTTTTCTCCGGGTCCTCCGATTTTTCCCTCCACATCACACGTTTAGAGTATTTGGCCAGTATAAATTTCCACATGATGATAAACCACTTCGTTGAGCTATCATTTGTGGCCAGGTCGCTTCTGAAAAAGAGCTACGTAGCTCAGTGGGGCCTTACCTGGTAAAATAAAAAATAGCAGTAAAATAGTAAGGCCCTCCCCAAGCTAACCCTCCAGTTTCTCGCGACATACCAATCCGTCTCGCTACCGCATACGAGCCGATATTTCTAAACGTGGACGGAAAAACCGGAGGAAAAGCCTAAATCCGGTCGTGGAATAATCACAGCTGACGACGACGATGCTAATAAATACAATTCTTAGCCATGTGGATGACTGTCCTTCAAGAAATAGCTTACTTCGAGCACACTATGAGCACAGGTCTGGCCAGGCAGAGCACCGGTTGGACACCTGTAACTGTGGCGTGCCTACCAACACTCGGCAGCAGCGTTGCGCTTCATAAATGCTCGCCGGTACTGAACGTGGAAGCTCGATCGTCAGGCGTTCGGTACTTGGTCGAGACGGAGGCACAGTTCCCTCCTACGCGCGGCCCTTCTTCCGCTCCCCATTGGCCGTATGTGTCGTGCACGTTGAATTTCTTTCGCACCGCGCGTAGCCGCCAACCGTGCTAATCAGAGGTGCGTGCCCCCTTCCTTGTCGAACGTCGTCGAGTCGTCGCCGGCCCTTCTCCCGACGAGCCTCCCTTCCCCCACCTCCGCCACCTTCGTCAGCAGGCCGCCCCCCTCTCGCCAACCCCCACGGCCCGGGCCAGGCAACCGCAGGAAGCGGCTTACATCGGCAGCGAGTGCTTGCAGCAGATACGCTCGGCAGACGCGGGGCCCACGCCGTGAGGTGGCACTTTGGGCGGTTATACATCGCCCGATGCACGCACGCACGCACGTGGCGCGCGACTTGACCCAGGTTTATTGCGAGTTTCCAACGACACAGCAGCCACTTTGCTTCCCCTCGATTTGGGGCTCAAAAAACCTCGGCTCCGTGGCCGCGGCTCGGCGATACCAACTCGAGGGCCTGGTGTGGTGCGGTGGGGTTGACGGGGCGGGGGGTACTTTGTTGTTGTTGTTGCTGTCGCGTTGGCAGGAGAGACGCTCATGATTTCCGCGCCCAATTTCATCCGCGTGTTTCTTGGGGGTTTCGCGAGCGCAGTGGAAGGGCTCCGGCAGTCGCGGCGCAGCTCCGTAGCCCTTTGAAGTCATCGTGGTCGTCATCGTGGTCGTCATCGTGGTCCTCATCATCGCCATCATCGGCGGCGGCAGTGGCGGTGTGTCGTGATGAAAGTGTTTTGGCAATTTGGAGAAAAGAGAGCAATTGGAGAACAATTGCAGCCAAAGGTGCCGCTGAGCCGCTAATCATCGGCAATACCGTCATCACCGCCGCCGCCACCGTGGTCGCGGTCGTCGTCGCTGGATCAGCGTTGGCACGTCTACTGGGAAGCGACGTTCAGCTGCTCACACGTTCAGCTGCGCAGTCAGAATCTTTATTTCTCCTACAGAAATCCGATGAGCTATGAAGCTCTCTTTCACAGATGCCCAGTCGGGGCACGTGGTCTGAAAGTTACAACAACAAATAACCACAACGATAGGGAGTGCAAAGTATAGGAAAGGTAATCAAATCACTATAAATACTAAGCCATTTTTTATTTTACCAGTCATCTGTTTGGGATCATCGCAGACTCGCGTTGTTGTCATCGTCGTCGTCGTCGTTGTTGTTGTTGTCATCGTCGTCGTTGTCGTTGTTGTTGTCATCGTCGTCGTCGTTGTTGTTGTCTCGGCTGAGGAGAGCCTCTCAGTCAGGGTGGAGCGTGCGACGCGCGAGTCGAGCGCCGCCGATGGCCACTGCGATTTGCTCCGCGTTGTCTTCCCAAGGAGCCGGAGCCGTCGGTTTGTTTTCGCGTTGTGAGGCTCACTCGGAGGCCCTCGGGGCGCGCGCGGTTCGGTCCACCGGCGTGCGTCTGGCCGAGCGAGATTAACGAACGACGGCAAACGACGACAAAAAAACTCAAACGCAGATAAAAAAAATATAAAAACGTAAGAATGCGACCGGTATTGGCCGTAAACGTTCCAACGCTGCAAATTTGTCTGCAAATGACTCAAATGTGATTACAGCAGCGCCAGGCTACTGTGACAAAAACTTGGCAGGACCCCCCTGAAAAGGAGTCGTGAGACTCAACAAAGCTTTCCTGGCTAAAGAAGCAAAGTAACAATGGTGAGGGAGAACTGGGCCGAGTCATTGTGGAGCCGCGTGCGTGACGTGTGCGTGACGTGTGCGTGACGTGTGCATGACGTGTGTGTGACGTGTGCGTGCGTGACGCGTGCGTGACGCGTGCGTGACGCATGCGTCTCATGCGTGCGTCACGTATGTGTCTCATGCGTGCGTGACGCGTGCGTGCGTCACATGTGCGTCTCGTGCATGTGTACGCGTAGGGAGCGGTGGCGCAGCGGTTGGCGCGCCGCACTACAAACCCGGTGACCCGAGTTCGATTCCCGCTCACGGTTAACACCGGTGATGATGATCTGAACCGGTCCTGGGCCTCTCCTAGGTCGACTTAGCCTCAAACGAGTACCTGATGCGGTGTGTAATAACATCACCACTGGGGAGACAAATGCGGCCGGGCGTGGTGCTGGCCACCCACCACCTCCTGTGCCGTGCCGGCCTACTCGCTAGCAGCACTTGCGCCCACAGTCTGTTGAGGCCTCACGGGGGACCTTTGTCTTTGTGTGCGCGCGGGGGCAGGTGGTCGGCATTGCGGACCCACGACTCTTCGCAAGAACGCAGTTCCAGAGGGAGCATGGCTTGGAGAAGAGCAGCGTGTTCACTGGTGAGTGTCGGCACACACAAAGACAAAGATCCCCCGTGGAGCCTTGACAGGCTGTTGGGTCAAGTGCCGTTCGCGAGCGCCTATGAAGGCCGGAATGGCACAAGAGGGGGTGGGTGGCCAGCACCACGCCCGGCCGCTTTTGTCTCCCCGGTGGCGATGTTTTGCACATCGCAGCGGGTGCTCGTTTGAGGCTGAGTCGACCGAGGGGAAGCCCAGGACCGGTTCAGATAATCGTCACCGGTTGTTGACCCTGAGTGGGAGTTGAACTGGGGCCGCTGGGGTTAGTAGCACAGCGGGCTAACGACTACACTACCGCTGCATGCCCTGAGTAATAAACACAGATGCACACACGAGGTCACGAGCAGCCTTCGAATTACACCGAGAGTACAGGAAGAGGAGCAAGCACAATCAAGTCAGAGACGCAATTATTGACTGTTGAGGAAAGTAAATTGTTGCACCCTCGATCCTACCGGTAGGTGAAACAAACCCATTGAGACGCACGGAACAGCAATCGCCTCCCGTGCAAAGGGTGTCCTGTTGGGCTTGGACAGGACAGACACGTCACGGCCATCCGAGACGGAATCCCGAGAAGCAGCCATAAGGAGGGATCGCATCTATAGAGCACGGCCACCGAGGTGCGGCGATGAAATGGGCCCGTGGATTACAGAAGGATGACTGCATTGCGAGCCTGTGGCCTTCATCCAACAGTGGATAGGTCATGGCTGATGACTATATATTAGGAAGCCACTCGAGCTATGCACTTTTAAATCTAGATGATTATTTTTTATTTAGAACTGCTTTTTGTGTTTAGTTTGTTGTCCTTCCCCCACACCTCTGATTGGCACGGTTGGCTACGCACGGTGCGAAAGAAGTTCAACACACAAAACTAAATATATGTGCGCGTGGGCGCGTCGGAGGCAGCCACGCTGTAGTTGTCGCCGCTGGGAGGTTTGGCCCTGGCAGCGATGGCCTTGAGTGGCCACGGGTCTCCGAACCTGGCTTGGTCCCTCAACCAAGTTGGTTTTAGCCTGATAAGGGCACTCTTCACACAACAAAAACAACAATCGCCATTCGCCACTAAGTGGCGGTGACATCACCACGGCGCTTGTGCCAGGCTATGTGCATGTTGAAGCCACATGAAGTGTCGAACGCCCGCTGGCAGGAGGTTACGGAGCAGACCCAGGCGCCGCGGGTCGACTGAGATAACTGGCCGATGCACCACCTGTGCCCCCTACTATGCCAACTTGCTCTTCACACAACGCACACTGGCACATTCACTGAAGGCCAATTTGACCGAGCAAGAGGCCCCCCGGGCACCAGTTCTAGATGATTGCCACCGATATTACGCGTGGCCACGAAATCTCAGCTGGGTCGCAGTACCATCATCAACGCAGCGCTGCGCCTCACACGTCCGGCTGCTACGGTGTGTACTCAAGTACACACTCCTACATACTCCTACGTACATAATACAGGTGTGATTTCTGGGGTTAGATCGCGTAAATGTGTCGTTAAACCCCGCCACCACCCGACACAGCCAGTTAGTGAGGTTTGCCACGTAATCAGAACGTGCCAAGTCGTGACGAGTTCAGCACCACCGGTTGGTGTGTCGGAGAGTGAACCCACGGCAACGATGACTCCTCCCCGTACTCGCGTGCGCCTCCTGTGTACACACTCTCCCCGCCACGCCGGGCACCGTCGCGTGCGTGGTGAGGGGCCGTCCACAAATGACGTCACGCACCTGGGGGGGGGGGGGGGTCAGACATTTGTGACGATGTGTGACGAAGGGAGGGGGGGGGTTTTAGAAATGTGACGTCACATCAAAATGCGCAACTTTAATTAAATATAGACAACACGTTCTACTTAATTAAATAGACTTTGTAATAAATGTTTTCTCCGACAACATCAGAGTGCAGCGCCACATTAAATATGCACTACAATGACAATAGTTTAAAGCGATTTGAAGCATGGTTTATTTTTTTTTTGGGGGGGGGCGGGGGGCAGAACTTTATGACGTCATATTTGAGGGGGGGTCTGACTATTTGTGACGTCGTGTGACGAAGGGGGGGGGGGGGTCAAAAATCACGTGACGTTATTTATGGACGGCCCCAAAGCGACAAAGCACGATTTGCTATTGCGGTTGTATCCAGCGCTCGAGGGGAGACTTGTGGCCCCTGGTGTGACGGTCGGCACGCTGGGCCTACAATCCAGCGGTGGCTGGATCTCCTGGAACTTGCGGTCGATTCGACGGTGCCCGGTTCTTAAACTCGCCCGCCGCTCCTCCACCTCGTGGCGGGGCAAAGCGTGGGAATTCCCGTCCCTTCCCGAGACGTCTCGCCAATGTGGAAGAGTAGGCCAAATGCCCTCTGGTGGACTCCCTTCAAACCAGTGATGGCAGAACTGGGACCTCTTTACCTTCAGCCGGTGGGCTGTGTTACACCGCCAGCGCCCATTGAGACGAACTTGGCGTGATGCGGGCGCTAGCAGAGGCGTTTTCTAACAGCCCATGCCCTGCCGGCATTACCCTTTAGTGTTAAAGAGTAGCGGGTGCACGCGTGTGTGTGTGTACACGTGTGTGTGTGTACGCTGTGTGGAAGCTACCTGGTCTGTCGCTCCGCACTAAGCTTCAGGTCTTCTCGGCCACGGTCATTCCCTCCCTTCTCTACACTTGCGAAACGTGGACCCCCCCTAATGGAACACCTTCGCCGGTTAGAAACATTTAGGCTGGCCTGCCTACGATCCATCCTGGGTTTAACCAGACTGGATTGTGTGAGGAGCTCAAAAATCCTTGAAAGATCTGGGCAAGGTCCCATCGGTGAGCTCCTCCGGCGGGGAAGGCTGCGATGGCTGGGTCATGTAGCCCGCATGCCCAGCCACCGCATGCCGAAACAGCTTTTGTTCGGCCAGATCGAGGGGGCAAAGCGGGCGCGGCACGGGCTAGAGAAGAGATGGAGTGATGTGGTACAGGAGGACGTGGAGCTGAGTGGACTTGCCGATGACTGGTACCAGCGGTGTCAAGATCGGCCTCTGTGGAGGAGGCTCGTGAAGGATGCTACTGGGCAGTTGGAGGCAGGTCGCCCTCCAACAACAACGGAGGGCGGAGGAGCGACGCTCAGAACAACGAGCGGAGCGCCGGGTAGCTAAAGCACAGCAGGTTGGCACAGTAGGGGGCACAGGTGGTGCATCAGCCAGTCATCTCAGTCAGTCGACCCGTGGCACCTGGGTCTGCCCCGTGACCTCCTGCCAGCGGGCGTTCGACACTTCACGTGGCCTCAGGGTGCACATAGCCTGGCACAAGCGTCGTGGTGACGTCACCGCCACTTAGTGGCGAATGGCGGTTGTTGTGTGTGTACGTGTGTGTGTGTACGTGTGTACGTGTGTGTGTACGGCAAAACAACCCCCTACCTCCTCGCGGTGCCGGATGGGCACCTGGTCTGGAGTGATTGGAGGGCATGGGCCAGATCAGCTCAATAACAACGGTAGGAGGCTGCTAGATTTTTGTGCAGCCCATGGGCTTCTAATTACCAACACGCTGTTCCGGCATCGGCGCATCCACACAACATCATGGATGCATGCCGGGTCCAAGCAAGAACATCTGCTGGACTACGTAGTGACGGACCGGCGAATGTGAGCCCATGTCATTGACACCAGGACCTACCGTGGAGCTGATCTGCCCTCTGACCATCCTACTAGTCATCTGTAAGATGCGCCTGCCATTCGTCCACTCCGGTGGTGGGTGTACACCCAGGACCCCATTCCAACCTAAAGTGGCCTGGTCTCAGTTATCTGATGAAAGTTGCAAGCGAGAATTTCATCATCGCTTGCGGCTGGGATTGGCATCGTCCCCGACTCCTCCTGATGTCGAGGGTAAATGGGCGAGGTTTAGGACTGTGACTCATGCAGCTGCAATGGCTGCTTTGGGTACGCGGTCCAGACCTCCCCAGACACCCTGGATGACAGAGGAGTTGCTCAGGATGGTTGAGAAAAAGCGACAGGCCCACTGTCATCGGCTACAGAATCCCACGTCAGAGAATGAGGAGGCTTACCGCAGCCTTCGCTCGGAGGTTCGGAGAGCCGTGAGGCGCTGCAAGGATGGGTGGTGGTCGCGGGTTGCTGAGGAGATGGAGTCTGCCTCAGTGGCCCGTGATCACAAATCTCTATTTAACTCCATCAAAAAAGTAACCTGCAGTGCCACACCTATTACCATCATTAGGGGAAAAAACGGTGATCCAATTTCCGACCCCCAGGAACAGGTTCGCAGATTTGCTGAGCATTTCTGTGAGGTCCTGGGGGAGGGAAAATCCCTCAGCCAGGAAAACATCGTGGCACAAAGTGAGGATGACCCTGCTGAGGCTGCGGTGCCTCAAATATTGGATGAAGTCACCCCCTGTGAGTGGCTGGCTGAGGTGCCGCTGCTGATGAAGTATTGAAGGCGATCCGGAGTCTGAGACCAGGAAAGGCAGCGGGCAGAGATGATCTCCCAAGCGAAATGCTGAGGGAGGGTGGCGTTTGTGCACAGACTGCCCTATATGACATCATAACAACAGTCTGGACCACTGGACGGGTTCCGCAGGATTGGAAGGATGCCCTGGTGGTCCCCCTTTTTAAGAAGGGGGACCGCACAGACTGTAACAACTACAAGGGCATCTCACTCCTCAGTGTGCCGGGAAAGGGTCCTGGCAAGGATTATTCAGCATCGCCTTGCCAGGCACGCTGAGGAGAGGCTTGCGGAGCCCCAATGCGGTTTCAGGAAAGGGCGGTCCTGCACAGATGCCATATTTTCTGTCCGTCTGCTACAGCAGAGGTGTAGGGAATTTCCAACAAGACCTACATCTCTGCTTTATTGACCTGGTCAAGGCCTATGATACCATCAGTAGGCCTGGGCTCTGGGTCGTTCTTCGTGCTTTTGGAGTACCTGACCCTCTGCTCACGATCATTAAGGACCTTCATGATGGTGAGCGGGCCCGGGTAAAACTACGTGGCCGGGAGTCAGAGCCATTCCCTGTACACCTTGGGGTGCGACAGGGATGTCCTCTGGCTCCCACATTATTTAACATCTATTTTGACCACGTAGTTCGTGAAGCCTTCAATAGCTGTACCGGGGGAATCTCCATATGGTACAGATATAATGGGAGGCTAATCGATGCCCGGGTGCGGTCAAGGGATGGCTCCCTACTGCTCAACCACGTTATGTATGCTGATGACTTGGTAATAGCTGCTCAGTCAGAGGAGGAGTTGGAGACGCTGCTGCTGAGACTGGAGCGTGCCACTAAGAGGTGGGGCCTTACCATCAGCCCCACCAAAACTAAGCACCTGCCTGGTATTTTTGTACCATCGGACACCTCCACCCCCACAACTCCCAATCGGTGATGGGGCAGTTGTGGAGAGAGTGGAGAGTTTCCCATACCTGGGCAGTGTGCTTTATGACTGGCTCCAGTTTTAACAGCAGAGGTCTCACTCCGAATCAGTCGAGCGGCAATATCTTTTCATCGGTTGCGTAACGCTGTGTGGAAGCTACCTGGTCTGTCGCTCCGCACTAAGCTTCAGGTCTTCTCGGCCACGGTCATTCCCTCCCTTCTCTACGCTTGCGAAACGTGGACCCCCCTAATGGAACATCTTCGCCGGTTGGAAACATTTAGGCTGGCCTGCCTACGATCCATCCTGGGTTTAACCAGACTGGATTGTGTGAGGAGCTCACAAATCCTTGAAAGATCTGGGCAGGGTCCCATCGGTGAGCTCCTCCGGCAGGCAAGGCTGCGATGGCTGGGTCATGTAGCCCGCATGCCCAGCCACCGCATGCCGAAAACAGCTTTTGTTTGGCCGGATTGAGGGGGCTAAGCGGGCGCGGGCACGGGCTAGAGAAGAGATGGAGTGATGTGGTACAGGAGGACGTGGAGCTGAGTGGACTTGCCGATGACTGGTACCAGCGGTGTCAAGATCGGCCTCTGTGGAGGAGGCTCGTGAAGGATGCTACTGGGCAGTTGGAGGCAGTCGCCCTCCAACAACACCGGAGGGCGGAGGAGCGACGCACACAACAGCGAGCGGAGCGCCGGGTGGCTAAAGCACAGCAGGTTGGCACAGTAGGGGGCACAGGTGGTGCATCAGCCAGTCATCTCAGTCAGTCGACCCGTGGCACCTGGGTCTGCCACGTGACCTCCTGCCAGCGGGCGTTCGACACTTCACGTGGCCTCAGGGTGCACATAGCCTGGCACAAGCGTCGTGGTGACGTCACCGCCACTTAGTGGCGAATGGCGGTTGTTGTTGTTGTTGTACGTGTGTGTGTACGTGTGTGTGTATGTGTGTGTATGTACGTGTGTGTACGTGTGTGTGTACGTGTGTGTGTGTGTGTACGTGTGTGTGTGTACGTGCGGTCAAGGGATGGCTCCCTATTGCGCAACCACGTTATGTATGCTGATGATTTGGTAATAGCTGCTCAGTCAGAGGAGGAGTTGGAGACGCTGCTGCTGAGACTGGAGCGTGCCACTAAGAGGTGGGGCCTTACCATCAGCCCCACCAAAACTAAGCACCTGCCTGGGTATTTTGTACCATCGGACACTCCACCCCCACAACTCCCGATCGGTGATGGGGCAGTTGTGGAGAGAGTGGAGAGTTTCCCATACCTGGGCAGTTTGCTTATGACTGGCTCCAGTTTAACAGCAGAGGTCTCACTCCGAATCAGTCGAGCGGCAATATCTTTTCATCGGTTGCGTAACGCTGTGTGGAAGCTACCTGGTCTGTCGCTCCGCACTAAGCATCAGGTCTTCTCGGCCACGGTCATTCCCTCCCTTCTCTACGCTTGCGAAACGTGGACCCCCCTAATGGAACATCTTCGCCGGTTAGAAACATTTAGGCTGGCCTGCCTACGATCCATCCTGGGTTTAACCAGACTGGATTGTGTGAGGAGCTCACAAATCCTTGAAAGATCTGGGCAAGGTCCCATCGGTGAGCTCCTCCGGTGGGCAAGGCTGCGATGGCTGGGTCATGTAGCCCGCATGCCCAGCCACCGCATGCCGAAACAGCTTTTGTTCGGCCGGATTGAGGGGGCAAAGCGGGCGCGGCACGGGCTAGAGAAGAGATGGAGTGATGTGGTACAGGAGGACGTGGAGCTGAGTGGACTTGCCGATGACTGGTACCAGCGGTGTCAAGATCGGCCTCTGTGGAGGAGGCTCGTGAAGGATGCTACTGGGCAGTTGGAGGTAGTCGCCCTCCAACAACAACGGAGGGCGGAGGAGCGACGCTCACAACAACGAGCGGAGCGCCGGGTGGCTAAAGCACAGCAGGTTGGCACAGTAGGGGGCACAGGTGGTGCATCAGCCAGTCATCTCAGTCAGTCGACCCGTGGCACCTGGGTCTGCCCCGTGACCTCCTGCCAGCGGGCGTTCGACACTTCACGTGGCCTCAGGGTGCACATAGCCTGGCACAAGCGTCGTGGTGACGTCACCGCCACTTAGTGGCGAATGGCGGTTGTTGTTGTGTGTACGTGTGTGTGTACGTGTGTGTGTGTACGTGTGTGTGTACGTGTGTGTGTGTACGTGTGTACGTGTGTGTGTGTACGTGTGTGTGTACGTGTGTACGTGTGTGTGTGTGTGTACGGTGTGTGTGTGTGTACGTGTGTGTGTGTACGGTGTGTGTGTGTGTACGCGCAGTGGTTTGCACGCCGCGCTCCGTATCGACCCCAGATCGATTGCCGCTCACGGCCACTTACACCGGTGGTGATTATCTAAAACGGTCATGGGCCTCCCCTAGGTTGACTCAGCCTCAAATGAGTATCTGATGCGGTATGTAAAAACAGCGCCACCGGGGAGACAAAGGCGATCAATCGTGGTGCTGGCCACCCAACCCCTCGTGTACCGTTCTGGCCTTCATAGGCGCTACTCGCTAACAGCACTTGCCCCAACAGCCTGTTTAGGCTACACGGGGGATCTTTGTCTTTGCCCCGCGCTTCTTCCACAGCCATTAAAGGGCACCAAGGAGTGGCACTTAAAGTCCGTGCACTAGAATGTACTAGCTGCACAGCGTGCAGCGATATCACGGCTTAATAAGAGTGCGGAGAAACCATTGGGCCTCGCTATAAATCCCCAAACAATGCCCCGGTCAATTGGCCTCTGAACTCCACAAATGAAATAATCACCTCTCTGGCGTCTCCCCCTATATCTGTGTGTGCTGTGAAGAAGGGGGCCCCATAGCCCCAAACGCCACCTGATATCAACCTGTTAGTTTTGTCGAGGCCGTACGCACAGTGCTCTTGACGAATGCTCTGAGCGATTCTGTTTCTCCTTTCTCCGTACGAAAGGTGGTTTGTGATGGGATGAGAGAGAGAGTTCCGTGGCACGCGCACACGGAGTGCTATTGGAGACCGCTGGAGAAGCTGTGATGCCGCTGTCTTTCAACGTAGGCTCTTCAAAGAGCAATAAGCGATCTCGGCACATCAGTATTCCTTGATCATTGTACACCTCAGAAGGGTGTGAGTCAGTGGGGAGGCTAGCCTGGAGATATATATAAAAAAACGAAAACTCAACATCACGTAGCTATAAAATATACCTACGTGACTTTACCGAAAGAACCAAAGAGTATGGATTTCTGCAGTCACGAAAGCTTCAAATCAAGATTGAAAACTCAACAATTTGTTTAATGTACCAGGTAAGGCCCCACTGAGCTAAGTGGCAATTTTTTTCAAAAGCGACCTGGGCCACAAGCGATAAGCTCAACGAAGTGGCTTATCACGTGGACGTTTATAGCAGGAGCCAAATACTCGAAACGCGTGGTGATGTTGATTCTAAATGTGGAGAGAAAAACCGGAGGACCCGGAGAAAAATCCACGCGACCATGGGGAGAGACACCGCAAACTCCAAATATACAGCAGCAGCAGCAGGCGCCAGGGTTGGAATCGAACCCACGACCTCCTGTAGACCAGGCGAGGTGGTTAACATCTCAACCACAGTGGCTCCACGTGGACGAGTTCCCAGATTTCGTATGGGGCACCAACAGGGACAGCTGTAGAATAATTCCCGGGTTAATTCGCCACTCACTCTGACACCGACTTTGTTGTCACGCGTTCTGTGTAACATCAAGCAGGTGCACAGTGTTCATCTGTCTCTACACACGTGAACCACCCACGGCGCACAGTGTTCATCTGTCTCTACACACGTGAACCACCCACGGTGCACAGTGTTCATCTGACTCTACACACGTGAACCACCCACGGTGCACAGTGTTCATCTGACTCTACACACGTGAACCACCCACGGTGCACAGTGTTCATCTGTCTCTACACACGTGAACCACCCACGGTGCACAGTGTTCATCTGACTCTACACACGTGAACCACCCACGGTGCACAGTGTTCATCTGTCTCTACGCACGTGAACCATCCACGGTGCACAGTGTTCATCTGTCTCTACACACGTGAACCATCCACGGTGCACAGTGTTCATCTGTCTCCACACACGTGAACCATCCACGGTGCTCAGTGTTCATCTGTCTCTACACAGGTGAACCATCCACGGTGCTCAGAGTTCATCTGTCTCTACACACGTGAACCATCCACGGTGCACAGTGTTCATCTGTCTCTACACACGTGAACCATCCACGGTGCTCAGTGTTCATCTGTCTCTACACAGGTGAACCATCCACGGTGCACAGTGTTCATCTGTCTCCACACACGTGAACCATCCACGGTGCTCAGTGTTCATCTGTCTCTACACACGTGAACCATCCACGGTGCACAGTGTTCATCTGTCTCCACACACGTGAACCATCCACGGTGCACAGTGTTCATATGACTCTACAGATGCAGCCAAACCCCGAGGCCTACTCAGGATAAACGAGTACTTGGTGGTGCACTGTGTAACAACATCAGCAATGGGGAGACAAAGGCGTCCGGGCGTGGTTGCTGGCCACCCATCCCCTCGTGTGCCGCCGTGCCGGTCTTCTTCACAGGTCCACTTGCCCCAACAGAATGTTCAAGGCAATGCGGGGGATCTTTACCTTTGTGTTTAAAGATGCCTCTCACGCCCTGCTGGGCCAGAAGAATGTGGATCCCACTCGTCCGGTTTCACGCATCGGAGTCACCGTCCCCTCACTTACACACACCGTGTCTTCACCTACACACACACACCGTGTCCTCACCTACACACACCGTGTCCTCACCTACACACACACACACACACCGTGTCCTCACCTACACACACACCGTGTACTCACCTACACACACACACCGTGTCCTCACCTACACACACACACACACACCGTGTACTCACCTACACACACACACCGTGTACTCACCTACACACACACACCGTGTCCTCACCTACAAACACACCGTGTCCTCACCTACACACACACACACCGTGTCCTCACCTACACACACACACACACCGTGTCCTCACCTACACACACACACACCGTGTCTTCACCTACACACACACACACACACCGTGTCTTAACCTACACACACACACACCGTGTCCTCACCTACACACACACACCGTGTCCTCACCTACACACACACACACACACCGTGTCCTCACCTACACACACACACACACCGTGTCCTCACCTACACACACACACCGTGTCTTCACCTACACACACACACACCGTGTCCTCACCTACACACACACACACAGTGTCCTCACCTACACACACACACCGTGTCTTCACCTACACACACACACCGTGTCCTCACCTACACACACACACAGTGTCTTCACCTACACACACACCGTGTCCACACCTACACACACACACACCGTGTCCTCACCTACACACACACCGTGTCTTCACCTACACACACACACACACCGTGTCTTCACCTACACACACACACACCGTGTCTTCACCTACACACACACACCGTGTCTTCACCTACACACACACACACACCGTGTCTTAACCTACACACACACACACACCGTGTCCTCACCTACACACACACACACCGTGTCCTCACCTACACACACACACACACCGTGTCTTCACCTACACACACACACACCGTGTCTTCACCTACACACACACCGTGTCTTCACCTACACACACCTACACACACACCATGTCCTCGTCTACACACACACACACCGTGTCCTCACCTACACACACACACCGTGTCTTCACCTACACACACACACCGTGTCTTCACCTACACACACACACACCGTGTCTTCACCTACACACACACACACACCATGTCTTCACCTACACACACACACCGTGTCCTCACCTACACACACACACACGTGTCTTCACCTACACACACACTCACGCCCCTTCTGCTTCGTTGTTTGTTCTGAGCCCCTACACAATTATTTAACTTCACCACGGATGACGATGTTTAAAAAAATAAAATCTACACACAGACATCGAATCTTCCGTCGTAGTATTCAGCAGACTGTTGGATAAGTGTTGTCAACCGCGCGGGAGGAGGTGGGGTGGCCAGAACCACGCCCGGCCGCCTTTGTTTCTCCAAGTAATCATTTAAGGCTCAGTCAACCTAGGCGAGGCCCAGCACCGGTTCAGATAATCATCACCGTTATTCGGGACGGTGAGCGGGAACCAGATTCGGGTCGATGGGCGAATAGTGCAGCCCGCTAGCCACTACCGCAACAGCCGCCAATCGCAGCAACGAAGTGGCGGTGCCATCACCGCAGTGCCCGTGCCAGGCTAGGTGCACCTTGGGGCCACGTCAAGTGTCAAATGCTCACTGACAGGAGGTCGCTGGACAGGCCCAGGTGCCATGGGTTGACTGAGTGAGACGACTGGCCGATGTTGGTGGCGCGTGAGGATGTGTGGGAGTATGGGAGTGAGGGTGGCAGGCCGCGTGATTGTGCAACTGTGGGGGAGTTTGTCGCGGTGAGCGCTACGAACCCTGCGCCCCGAGTTCGATTCCTGGGCTTCCCCTCGGTCGACTCAGCCTTAAATGAGTACCTGGTGCGGTCGTTACGAGGAAGACAAAGGCGGTCGGGCGTGGTGCTGGCCACATACCCCCTCGTGTGCCGTGCCGGTCTTCATAGGTGCTCGCTAACAGCACTTGCCCCAACTCACAGTCACACATCACCGCACTCACACGAACACACACCACCACACTCACAACACTCCCTTCAAGCTCGCACTGCCACACTCACAACACTCTCACACCACCACACTGTCACATTGTAACACTCACACCCTCACACACTCTCACACTCACACTCTCACATTCTCACACTCACACACTCTCACACTCACACCCTCACACACTCACACCCTCACACTGACACTCTCACACACTCACACCCTCACACTCTCACACTGACACTCACACACCGCCACACTCTCTCACTCTCGTCACACTCACGACAACAAAGGCAAATCAAATAACGCCAAACAGCACGACACTTTCCCACATCGCTGCGGTGAGAAGCGCCGCTGCCTGGCGTGCGCTGCGTGATGTTCAAGTGGCACGGCACCGCTCGTCAAGAACTCACCAATAACGCCGACTCCGAGCAGTGCCGGATGAAGCGAGTGCGGGGCCTGTAGCATGATGTTATAAAGGGGCCCTACATAAAAAAAAAACAGATACATTTTTAAACACGTGCGTTTTTATCTTGCGTAGTAAAGTACTGTAATAGTATTTGTTCATTTGCTATACAGCCAGATAATACGACAAATGGCTAACCTTAAACACCCAGTCGTTCATAAAATTTGAAGGCGGTATAGTACTATGGTAATAGAGCAAGTGCAGAATCACTGAACCGGAGTTGATAGCTTGAAAGCATTTAGCGTGGGGCCCTTGAAAGTGCGGGGCCCGTAGCACTTGTAGCTACTTGTGCTACGAGGATCATTCGGCACTGACTCCGAGTAGCTCTGAGCCGCGGTTATTGAAACCGGCTCAAGCACACGGTGGACTCTGCGGGGGTGAAGGAAGCACGGGGGGAGAGTTTCATTTCCTACCACGTCCACGAGGGATTGCCGAAGCGCGCGGTCTGCTGTGATGCTGACGGTAAAGACCCCTGAGGCCTCGTGCGCAAAGGGTGCAGCACTCAGTCACGGGCCAGATCCGAAATCTAAACGAAACTTTTTTTACACGATTGTTATTTTACCATGTAAGGCCCCTCTGAGCGACGTAGCTCTTTTTTTCAGAAGCTCCAACGAAGTGAGCTTATCATCACGTGGAAATGTACAGCGGCCGCTTGTCGACTCTAAATGTGGAGGGGGGGGGAATTCGAAAAGAACCCCCCCCCCCAGGCGCGCGAGGGGGCAACGCTTTATCCCGTGCGGACGAAACAGGCGGAGTCAACATTGCTGCTGTCCTGCCTTCTCCCGGCGAGCCACAGAACCTAACCTCGCAACGCACGCGAAGTCGCACAAAACGAACCCGCACGGAGCGAGTGAAGCCTGTCCCGTGCACTACACGCGGCTGTCAACCCACACGGCTTACTCCGGATTCTTGTATAGGGAAATTGACTTTCCCGGGTCCATACGGCGCACAGCCGTTTCAGTACGGGCGACACATTTTGTTACGTCTATTTGTTTGTGTTTCTCCTCAGTGATGAACGTTGATATTTATAAGGGGGTCACGGGGTGACCAATAAGGTCTGAATTGGCCTGTAATAAGGTAGGGCACTGACAAGGGGTTGACGGGTATGATGAGTACAGGGTGCTGTGTGTACGTACGTTGAACTTCTTTCGCACCGTACGTAGCCAGCCGTGCTAATTGGAGGTGCGAGGGGGGGTGTAAGGTGTTGCGACTTTATCCCGTAATGCGTGGGGGTGGGAGCAGGCGCTGGCGACGGGAGCTGCGGTGATGGTGAGTTGTAGGAATCTATCTTCTCTATAAATGAAGACCTTCATGTGTGTGTATGTACGTCTCAAAAATCCTCTATGGTACTTGCCGACGAGGTAGAAGGCTGACATTTGGTACACAGGTAGCGTTTAGGAGACAAACAATAGGACGGAACTTAAAATCTGAGATTTTTCATTGTAAGGCTCCCAAATAGGACGGAACTTAAAATCTGAGATTTTTCATTGCAAGGCTCCCAAATAGGACGGAACTTAAAATGTGAGATTTTTCATTGTAAGGCCCCAAATAGGACGGAACTTAAAATGTGAGATTTTTCATTGTAAGGCTCCCAAATAGGACGGAACTTAAAATCTGAGATTTTTCATTGTAAGGCTCCCAAATAGGACGGAACTTAAAATCTGAGATTTTTCATTGCAAGGCTCCCAAATAGGACGGAACTTAAAATGTGAGATTTTTCATTGTAAGGCTCCCAAATAGGACGGAACTTAAAATCTGAGATTTTTCATTGTAAGGCTCCCAAATAGGACGGAAGTTAAAATCTGAGATTTTTCATTGTAAGGCTCCCAAATAGGACGGAAGTTAAAATCTGAGATTTTTCATTGTAAGGCTCCCAAATAGGACGGAAGTTAAAATCTGAGATTTTTCATTGTAAGGCTCCCAAATAGGACGGAACTTAAAATCTGAGATTTTTCATTGTAAGGCTCCCAAAGGACGGAAGTTAAAATCTGAGATTTTTCATTGTAAGGCTCCCAAAGGACGGAAGTTAAAATCTGAGATTTTTCATTGTAAGGCTCCCAAATAGGACGGAACTTAAAATCTGAGATTTTTCATTGCAAGGCTCCCAAATAGGACGGAACTTAAAATGTGAGATTTTTCATTGTAAGGCTCCCAATAGGACGGAACTTAAAATCTGAGATTTTTCATTGTAAGGCTCCCAAATAGGACGGAACTTAAAATCTGAGATTTTTTCATTGCAAGGCTCCCAAATAGGACGGAACTTAAAATGTGAGATTTTTCATTGTAAGGCTCCCAAATAGGACGGTTAAAATCTGAGATTTTTCATTGTAAGGCTCCCAAATAGGACGGAAGTTAAAATCTGAGATTTTTCATTGTAAGGCTCCCAAATAGGACGGAAGTTAAAATCTGAGATTTTTCATTGTAAGGCTCCCAAATAGGACGGAAGTTAAAATCTGAGATTTTTCATTGTAAGGCTCCCAAATAGGACGGAACTTAAAATCTGAGATTTTTCATTGTAAGGCTCCCAAATAGGACGGAAGTTAAAATCTGAGATTTTTCATTGTAAGGCTCCCAAACAGGACGGAAGTTAAAATCTGAGATTTTTCATTGTAAGGCTCCCAAATAGGACGGAACTTAAAATCTGAGATTTTTCATTGCAAGGCTCCCAAATAGGACGGAACTTAAAATGTGAGATTTTTCATTGTAAGGCTCCCAATAGGACGGAACTTAAAATCTGAGATTTTTCATTGTAAGGCTCCCAAATAGGACGGAAGTTAAAATCTGAGATTTTTCATTGTAAGGCTCCCAAATAGGACGGAAGTTAAAATCTGAGATTTTTCATTGTAAGGCTCCCAAATAGGACGGAAGTTAAAATCTGAGATTTTTCATTGTAAGGCTCCCAAATAGGACGGAATTAAAAATCTGAGATTTTCATTGTAAGGCTCCCAAATAGGACGGAAAGTTAAAATCTGAGATTTTTCATTGCAAGGCTCCCAAATCTCGATGTTAAGTGCCCGGTAAACATGTTTGTGCGTGGTGTCATGGGTACCGTTTGCCAGCGCGTTCAACAGCAAATAAAAGGAAAGTGAGAACCATTAAAGCGGTTTTGAACGAAAAAAAATCCGCATTTTATGATGTTCAAATCGGAATATAACAAGAAAACGGTAAAAGATAGCAGAGCTTCCTCTCATAGAGTATTAAGTTCATTATTTTTTCTTCTTTCTAATGTAAAAAAAAAACCAACGGAATCTTAAAATGGAGTAAGCTGTTAGTGTCTGGTCATAGATTTAAAAAAAATTGTGTACGAAAAAAAATCAGGTTATTTATTATATTTACTGAAAACTTTTACCTGGCGAAGACGGGCTTCGTGAACCAGTAATTAATCATCAACAGCGGCGCGTCTCCTGCAAAAGGGACTGCTTTTTTGGCGCGGTAATGGGGGCAGCGGCAGCGGTGGCGGCGGCGGCGGTGGTGGTTCGTTAGCGAAAAGAGAAATGCTCTGCGAGGTGAAGCCCGCTGGAGAACGCTTTACCGGATTAATGCACGGCCATTGTCCCCCGCCACCACAACCCTCAGAGGCACTTTGAGTGATTGGAGACGGCGCGCGGGGATTGGCACGGTTCAGCAGCAATCTCAGTGTCCCTCTCCCCACCGTCCCCCCGTTTGCGCTAAATCCATGATAATTAATTTACCCACAATCCCTGCGTTGGTGCCGTCATGAGGTCGTCGTCGTCGTCCCCACGAGGCCGCCCCCTCTCGTCTCGCTCCGCTTCCAATTAGAAGCCGGAGAGATTTGCCTCCGCTGATGATAAAAATTAAAACCAACGCCTCCTCTATCTCGCCGCCATTCGCTGCCTAGTGGACGCGTTCAACGCGAGCGTCGCTCGCCTCCTCGTGAACGCGTTCACCGCGGGCAAGCGGACGTGCCAGATGTCTCCGCGTCTCCGGCGGGATTCAATTTCGCTGGAGAGGTCACTCTCGTTTTTCCCACAAGAGCGAGAGGAGATGAACAAAAACAATGGACGGCTGCCATGAAACGCGGCCGCCAGAGTTCAATTCCCAGCCAAGGCTCACGTCGTCGGGAGCGAATGATGCCTGAAGCACTCCTCGCGCTCTCTTCTTTGTCGAGACGCACTGACCGGCGTGGTGAAGTATGGTCTTCTTTGTCGAGACGCACTGACCGGCGTGGTGAAGTATGGTCTTCTTTGTCGAGACGCACTGACCGGCGTGGTGAAGTATGGTCTTCTTTGTCGAGACGCACTGACCGGCGTGGTGAAGTATGGTCTTCTTTGTCGAGACGCACTGACTGGCGTGGTGAAGTATGGTCTTCTTTGTCGAGACGCACTGACCGGCGTGGTGAAGTATGGTCTTCTTTGTCGAGACGCCACTGACCGGCGTGGTGAAGTATGGTCGAACAACGCCCACGACCGACACGGCCAGCAGTGGATTTACGTAGGAGCTTGTAAACACATTTTGGAATCCCGTCGGTTTCACGTCACGCGACATGGAGCGCGCGTTCGAGCAAGGACTCTTGTGTCTCTGTTCGAGAGACGCGTGGTGACGCAGCTGTGATGCCGTGTGTAACGAGTATTTGAAGTACAGTATGTACGTACATACGTTGAACTTCTTCCGCACGGTACGTAGCCAAACGTGCCAATCGGAGGTGCGGGGGAAGGACAACAAACTAAGCACAAAGCTGTTTTAAAGAAACGAGTTTTCAATCGAGATGGTTTAAAAGCTCAAAGCTTCCAGTGGCTTCCTAACAACGGAAGGAAGAACGTTCCAGCCGGCTGCAGTAGAGCATCTGAGAGCGCGCGATGCAGTGACCGTCTTTTTTTTTCGATGGTTACCCAAAAGTTGCCATGCGTATGACCGGAGTTCGAACTCAGACATTGTGCCACAGATAATTAACCTATTCCCATTCCGAGGCGTCTGCAGGTTGCAGGGTGGGTGTCCCGTCCACCGCCGAGTCTCGGAACGGCTCAAGCGGTTCGGCGTTAATGTTATTTAGAGAGGCGTAGCAGCGCCGCTGTTTTTAAACACATTGTTACTCACCGCAGAGCACCGGAGCGACGCGACCGCCGCACTCTACGATAGCTGGCGCCAACCTGTGCCGCACGCCCTCCCGCGTGGCCTTGCGGGAACCTCGATACAGATAAAGTTATTTCATTTTTTGTTCTGATGACGTACATGTGCACGCACGTGTACGTCGTGAGTATGGGAAAGGATTAAATGTCCCATAATATTTCATAGTCCTGGAAACATCACCTCTTCCGCGTCATCATCATCATCGTCGCAGCAGAAAGCAACCCGCGATAACGGCAACAATCATCGTCGTCACGATCCATCATCTCGTTTGATTTGTCATTGGCGGCGTTGTAGCCATAATCATCAGCAGCGGGAGGTCGCAGCGGGTGGGACTCGTGTCCAGGATGGCGGAGGTCAGGGTACCGACACGGGCACCGGGGTCACCCCCAGAGGTCACTGACCAGGCAGCAGCAGCAGGACGGTGCGGTTACGGCACGAGCTCGACTTCGTACCAGCCGTGGGATCTCGCAGAGGGAAGGAATCAGAATCTGTGTTTCACACTGGGGGAATCCGGTGAGCTATGAAGCTCTTGGCCGTGATGACCGCCTGACGTTGATGCGCCGCGGTGTGAGCGCTGCAGACTGGAGGGAGGCGGCGGAGCTGGCGAGATTTGCCGACGCCGTTTTCATCTGCACGCCGGATCGCCTGCACAAGGTGAGGGGAGGGCGGGGGGGGGGGCGCTGCCCTCTGTCGGTGCCGACGGCTCCGGCAGGGTTCACTTGGCTGTCCCTGCTCGCGCAGCGCCGGCTTCGCACGTGCGCCACCTACTCCTCTTCCTCCGGGACTCTTCCTCCTGTTCCTCCTCTTCCTCCTCCTCTTCCTCCTCCTTTTCCTCCTCTTCCTCCTCTTCCTCCTCCTCCTCTTCCTCCTCTTCCTCCTCCTCTTCCTCCTCCTCTTCCTGCGACTCTTCCTCCGCAACTCTTCCTCTTCCTCCTCTTCCTCCTCCTCTTCCTCCTCCTCCTCTTCCTCCTCCTCCTCTTCCTCAGCCACCTCTTCCTGCGACTCTTCCTCCGCGACTCTTCCTCCTCCTCTTCCTCCTCCTCCTCTTCCTCCTCCTCTTCCTCCTCCTCTTCCTCCGCGACTCTTCCTCTGCTGCTATCGCTGCTGCCGCTGAAGCTCCGTGCCGTCGTCACAGCTCGCCTCGACTGTGCGGCAAAACTCCATTCTCTATCGAACGTCGTGATCGTCCATGGTCTCTTCACTGCTGGATAAATACCTCCACCCCCATCCCCCCCCCCCTCCCCCAACACCCCCCTCTTCCCCCACCCCCTTCCACCCCCCCCCCCGCCCCCCAGCCGTTGCCATCGTTCACCATCCTTCGTATGCAACGATCTGTCCAGCTCCTGCGTACGCTGATTTTATCGCTCCATCTCCGTGGTGGACGTGTCCACGTTACGGCACATTCCTTCCTGTGGCTGCCACTATAAAAACTAAACTATAAACTACTTTTTATATTACCACGTAAGGCCCCACTGAGCTATACAGCTCTTTTTTCAGAAGCGACCTGGCCACAAACGATAGCTGAACGAAGTGGCTTATCACGTGGAAGTGTAAAGCAGCCAAATACTCTGAACACGTGATGTTGACTCCAAATGTGGAGGGAAAACCCGGAAGACCCGGATAAAAATCCACGTGACCACGGGGAGAAAGCGAGACATGCAAACTCCAAATATACAGCAGGCGTCAGCGTCAGTCAGGGTCGGGATTAAACCCACGACCTTCTGTATATCAGGTGAGGTAGTTAACATCTCGCCACGCTGGCAAACTCTCCCATCAGTCTCCACCACTGACCATGGTCCAGTCTCGTGGCATGTCCTGCCCAAGGCCACTGTTAACGGTCAGTGTGATGTCCCCAGCTGCCGTGTGTACTCTAATCTAAGGTGGCGAGCCTGGTATACAGGCGGTTGTGAGTTAGATCCCGACCCTGACGCCTGGTGTATATTTGGAGTTTGTGTGTGTCTCTCTCTCTCCCCGTGGTCACGTGGATTTTGCTCCGGGTCCTTCGGGTTTTTCCCTCCACATTTCGAATCAACGTCACCACGCGTTCAGAGCATTTGGCTGCCAGACATTTCCATACTTCATTGAGCTATCATTTTTTAATAGCCAGGTCGCTTCTGAAAAATATCTATGAGGGCCTTACCTGATAAAATACAAATAGTTCAGTCGAGTTTTAATCCATGTGCTGTTCTGTCGCTCTCAGTGTCATTCCGAGCATGCATCTGTCCACGCTTCCTTGAGGGCTTCTGGACTGCGGTTGCGTTTTCATGATGTCGGAGCACGTGGCGTACAGTCTGTACCCTGCCCAAATCCACCGCCGTGGAATTTTCGGCTGCTCCAAAGCACCCGGCAACCAAACGTTGCGCCCGCAAAGTCAACCAAATTCGCCACCAACCTCCAGTTGCCTTCAATCATGGATCAACAACGAGACCATCAACCGCCTCGTGCTCACGGTCCACCGTGGGCTCGCCACTGCCCCGCGTCTCCCCCCCCCCCCATCCACCACCTCCCCCCCCCCTCTGCTCCCCTTCCTGTGCCCTCAGCTCCAGCAAAAACTCGGCTTCTGAAGTTGGGGAATTCTCAGCCAACGATCGCTCAGTGGGCGCTCGCTCCCTCTCCCCGTTTAAACACGGAGTAGTGGTAGTACTTGGCTTTCACGCCCGATATTATCCATAATAGAGGTTTTTTTTGTGGGGTTAGATCGCGTCAATATAAATGTGTCGTCGTTAAACCCGCCGCCAACACCCGACGCAGCAATTAGTAAGCTTTGTCACGTAAACAAAACGTGCCAATTATGCCAGTTAGTTACTAGTTCAGCACACCGGTCTGTTGGAGTGTGAACGTTGTGGGTTTACTCTCTTGCTAATTGGCCGTGTCGCGTCGTGGCAGATTTAACGGCACTTTTATATTCCCTCTCCCGTGCAGCCGCGAGTCCTGACGAGAGTCCTTCCCCTGTCCGTCACCGCCGCTCTTCACCAGCCCTCTCTCCCAGCATCCTTTCCACCAGCACCAACAACACCAACAGCCGCCATTCGCCACTGAGTGATGGTGACGGCACCACGGCTCTTGTGCCAGGCTAAGTGCACTTTAAGGCCATTTGAAAGGTCGAATGCCTGCTGGCAGGAGGTCACGGGACAGACCCAGGTGCCATGGGTTGAGTGACTGAGATGACCGGCCGATGCACCAGCACCACCGCCACCACTACCGCTCACTCCCGTTCCACCACGACCACCAGCCATTACCATTCCGCTCTCGTGTCCCCCCACCCCCACCCCGCTCTTGTGCGGCGATCTCGTCGAGATGCTTTCTAGCTCTCATGTCGGGTCGTATCGAATCGCGTCGTGAAGCGGCCTCGGGCAGAGCGTTGCGAGGAATGGCCCGCTGATCATATACCGCAATCTCGACTCGGCGACGGAGGCGTTCCGAACCGGAATCTCGGTCGGGGAGACGATTAACCTCTCACCGCACCTCCGCGGTCGATGAAACGAGTGCCACTTCGTGGGCCAGTGAACGGACAGCGGTCATTCAGATGTGGAATGTTTTACAAAGCTTCTGTCTCCTCCTCGCCATCAGGACCCGGCCGTCGCCTTCGCAGCAAAGGGCTACCACGTTCTGCTGGAGAAGCCCATGGCGGTGAGAGGACGCCGGGAGGCCAGGGGCACGGAGACCTAACCCCCTGGCGAGGGCCGCACACGACTTGCAAAATACATTCGACGGGCGACTATGCACGCACGCACACAACCACGCACGCACGCATCCACACTCGCATCCACGCACGCACGCATCCACGCATGCATACACGCACGCATCCACGCACGCATCCACGCGCTGTTCCGCCGCTTCTGTCACGTGGCTAAAGGCTCTTGCAGTGACAGACGGGAATGAGCGCCGCCGCGCTAGAAATTAGAAAGGCAGCGTCGTTGTTGTTGTTGCCAAATTGAGAACCGACCCCCTCTAGTACCTGACCCGTACTGCTCGCAGTGATGGATTGGCGTTGTGAGTGGCCCGTTGCGAAGTGGTGCGCCTCGTGCGGAATCAAGCGCGTGAGATCGACAGCAGCGTCCGGGCGGCGGTGGCCACACACGTGGCCTGTAATCCAACGCCGGAGGCGAGGGTTGGTGGATCGCACGAATGCTGTGGGGCATCGAAGAGGTTGCCATACCCTGGCTAGCCAGGCGAAGGCGCTACACCAAGCGGACTAATCGCCATCTCTTGCCGTCTGTACGGGGATAGAGCGTTGCTCCCTCGCACGTTTGGGTCGTCTCCGGACGAATACTCGTCATTATTTGGCTGGAAATCTTTCAAAATAAAACCAAACGTAGGACCCCTCCGGATAGAGGAGTCCTACAAACTCAGTGTGGCTCTCCTGGACAGGTGTACGTGAAGGATGCTTCAGGATTAGTCGCGTCGGGATAGGGTGGAGCAGCTTGGAGGTTGAGAGTAAAACGTGGCAAGAAAGCGCCATCGATGTTAATGAGAGAGAGAGACGCTGCGATGAGTGGGACGCGCGTTCAGGGTGGGGGAAGAGGAGGGGAGCGGTGGTGCAGCGGTTAGCACGCCGCGCTACGAACCCAACGACCCCGTGGATCGATTCCTGCTCACAGCCACCGACACCGGTGATGATTATCTGAACCGGCCCTGGGCCTCCCCTAGGTCGACTCAGCCTCAAATTAGTGCCTGGTGCCGTCGTGTAAACATCGCCACTAAGGGGAGACAAAGGCGGCTGGGCGTGGTGCTGGCCACCCATCCCCTCGCGTGCTGTGCCAGCCTTCATCGGTGCTTGTTAACAGCACTTGCCCCAACAGTCTGTTAAGGCTGTACGGGGGAGTGGCACCCAGAGATTGGTTGACAGTCTGTGCCAGACGCTGCGAGATTTGATCGATAAAGAGCAAACTTTGGGGGGGTCGGGATGTCGAGTTCGGAACAGCTGCTGGATCTGGAGGGAGGAAGGAAACGATCGCGCGGTGCTGTGTGTGTGTACGTTGAACTTCTTTCGCACCGTACGTAGCAAACCGCGCTAATCGGATGTGCGGGAAAGGACAACAAACTAACACAAAAAGCAGTTCTAAATAAATGACTTTGTATCGAGATGATTTAAAAGTGCATAGCTCCAGTGGGTTCCTAATAGGGAGAGCATTCCAGACGGTGACAGAAGTGCATCTGAAAGCGCGCGATGCGGTGACCGGCTTTGTTCGACGACTCGCCAAAAGCTGCTGCTGTGAGGATCAGGCATCATCATCAAAGACAAAGATCCCCCGTGTAGCCTCAACGGACTGTTGGGGCAAGTGCTGTTATTGAGCACCTATGAAGGCCGGCACGGCACAAGAGGGGGTGGGTGGCCAGCACCACGCCCGACCGCCTTTGTCTCCCCAGCGGCGATGTTTACTACACATCGCACCAGGTACTCATTCGAGGCTGAGTCGACCTTGGGGAGGCCCACGACCGGTTCAGATAATCACCACCGGTATTGGCCGTGAGCGGAAATGGAACTCGGGTCGCCGGTTTCGTAGCACAGTGCTAACCACTACACCACCGCTCCCCACACCACCAGCAGCAGCATTGTCCGCGTGGAGCGAGTGCCGTGCGTGTGTCCCCGTGCGGCAGGTGAGCGAGGGTGACTGCGAGGCGATCGTGGCGGCGTGCCGGCACGCGGACGTCATGCTCTCCGTGTGCCACGTGCTGCGCTACTTCCCTCCCGTGCAGAAAATCAAGGTGAGCCGCCGCCGCCACCAGCGGCCACCGCTGGCGTGCGTGCGAGTGTTTGTGTGCGCGTGTGGTGTGTGTAGCGGTGGCGTCACGGCTAGCACGATGCGCTACAAATCCCGGCGACCCGAGTTGACATCCTGCTCACGGCCAAAACCCAGTGACAATTTTTCACGATCAGTTCCTTAACCTACCCTAGGTCGACTCAGCCGTAAATGAGTACTTGGTGCAGGTGTGTGAACATCGCCACTGGGGAGACAAAGGTGGCCGGACCTGGAGCATGCTGGACACCCACCCCTTCGTGTACCATGCCTGCTTTCATAGGTACTCGCTAACAGCACTTGCCCCAAGAGCCTGTTTTCAGGTTGTCTTGTTGTCTTTGCAACCTCAGTCAGTCAACTCATAACACGTGGGTCTGTCCTGTGACTTGTCTTCCGCACTTCACGCTGACTCAAAGTGCACCTAGCCTGGCACAAGCGCCACACCGCCACTTATTGGCGAATGGTGGACGTTGTTGCTGTGTGTACATGCGCATGGGTATGTGGGGCGTGGTGGTGCCGTTCAGCTAATCTATAATCAATAGTTATAAATTAGCCGACAGCTTGGGGAAGCATTCATCGAGCAGTGGATTGATCCTGGCTGATGCTGATGAATGATGATGCATTGGCCACTGCCTTCACTGACAAGAATTTAGCAAATTGCCAGCAGTCAAAAACTGCCACTCAGAGGCGGAACAATCTACTCACGAATCGCACGTCGTGGGAAGTGAGCGGTGGCTTTTGTTTTTCTTCCACGGAGAGACTGGCCTCCTTCGCACCAAGATGTGGAATTTCCACCACGGCTTCGCAGCCACCGCAAACAGAGACGCGCGGGCACCCCCCGGGCGCTTATTCGGCCGCAGATACCGCCACACTGCGTTGACATTGAGTGACCTTTGACAGGGCACTGCGCAAAGCGTGACCAGCTTTGCGAATCCCACGATCCCTTTTGGCAGCCTTGCATAGTGCCTCGTTTCGTGCACGGCATCGAATGAACGCGCGCGGTACGTTTATCGCCATCCGGCGCTGAGGGTCCGTCGCAGGTGGCCGCGTTGCTTCCCCTTCACGGTGACCGCTCACTGGCACGAGCGGGAGAAGGAGGCCTGCCCTTAGGACTCGGAGCTCCTCAGCGAACTGCGCTCACGGGGAAAGTACGCACGTGTGGTAACGCACGTTGGACTTCTTTCGCACCGTACTTAGCCGGCCGTGCTCATCGGAGGTGCGGGGGAAGGACAAGAAATTAATTACAAAAAATCAGTTCTAAAGAAACGGGGTTTCAATCTGCATTTAAAATTGCACAGCTCCAGTGGCCTCCTAATACCAGAAGAACGTTCCAGACGGCCGTAGAAGCGCATCTGAAAGCGGCGTGTGATGCGGTGACCACCGTCTTCAATGAAACAGCCAAAATCCGCTGCTGCTGCAATAATGACCGGAGTTTGCGTGATGGTTTATGCCCTTGACCAGATCGGCAAGGTATTGTGGTTCATTTACGGCAAGCACTTTGTGTGTACTGAGTGCAGCCTTGTAACGTATTCGTTCCATTACTTACGAAGTCTGCGCTTGTTCAATGGGGGGGGGGAGAGGGTAGTAGAAAAACTCACACAGATTCTCTCCCGAAGCCCTTCTCGTGGCGAACAGACCTCGACATTGGCATTTCGCTCCTGAACATACTGCCGCCTCCATTAGCAAGAATAGAAATCTAATTCAGGAGAGCCTCGGCAAGTCAGAAGGCTCTTTTTGTTGGGAGGGCCCTGCATGGCGATGTTTGGGCAATCGTTGGCAAATTTTTTACGTAGATTTTTTTTGCATACGGGCGGCAACGGAGTTACCCAGAAACAATCCACGCACGCGAGCGGACAGTACTCAGAAGTCCGCACGCAATGGTGGAGCCAGGATTTTCAGGTAGGTAGGGGGGCAACCCTCCAGTAATGAAAAATGATAGGAGTTGTTATTCGCCGTGTGTGCGACGATGGCACAGCCATCGATCGAGGGTCGAATTCGAACCGCGTTGTGTGATCGGCATCGCGCTCGCTAAAGGTGTTTGCCTTCAGGGAAATCGTGGACTCTGTAGATGCAACTGCGCACGATTCTGAGTCACTTATAACTGCTTTGCCGTTACTTATTGCCAATTATGGACTCAGACTGTTGTCCTATCATCTCAAATAGTCCCTGGCACATAATAATATGCTACACAGTGGCAGTGGGGGTCGCAAAATGACGATTTATTACTAATAAACCCCAATGATCCAATCGAAATTAGGGATTTCGATCGGATCATTGGGGGGGCACGTGCCACCCCCCCCCCCCCCCCACTGGCTCCGCCACTGTCCGCTGCGCTGCCATTTTTCCTGGCCACCTCACAGGCCGGCTTGTTGTGGGGTAGTTTCTTGACAAATCTGCACGAACCACGGGATCCTTGCCTCGCAAAGCCTGGGGTTACGTCTGGCGTGCCGTCACGACCTGCTGCGTCCGCACTGTGCTGCCACGGACGTGCGCCAGGCCAAACTACGGCCACTTCAAAATCCCCTGCCAGACGAGGGCCTTCCTACGCTGTTGCGGGCCGTGACGGTGTTCTGTTCCTGGCCATACTTGGCCGACATCGGTACACGCGACATTGTGGGGAGCGTAGAAGTACGGGACAACATTCCTACACCTCTGCTGCCCACCGCATAGAGGCACAGCCCACAGCAGCAAGCAACGTGTCTGTGCACGGCGGTCACCTGTCCAAGGCACCGTCCAGGCTCGACACCTGCTGAGCTTCTGAGACCGCGCGGTGTCCGAGGGAATTGGCGATTGAGGTTCAACATGGCCTGAGAGTCATGGATTAGAGCGGGACGAGCCTCTGACGGCTGCTCACTGCTGGGTGAGGAGAAGCGGCCACGGTGCCGGCTGCAAAACACTATCGATCTTACGAGATGCAATAATCCAATTGATGGGGGGCGGGGGCAGGGGGGGGTCTTCATTTATCGACAGGAGAGGCTCTCAGCTCATTAACTGTGTGACCTTACAAAGCAACTGGCATTTTGCATTATTGACTTTGGAATTCCATGGTACGATCATCATCATTGTCGTCGTTGGAAACGCGTAGGCGACGGAGGCCCAGTGGGCCAACCGCATTCCACCGCCTTGTAGGAGGCTTCCCGCAAGGTTAGGCCGGCGTCTCGATGGATCTTCACGAAGCCACGAGTCCCCTCGGGAAGGCCGGACCGCATGGCGCCACGATGGAGATCGGCGTGCGGGAGTGTCGCCCCGCGTCCTCGCAAGGCGGCCAGACCAACGGATACGACTCAACCGGACGACGGAACAACCGGTCCCTCGACGAGACTTCAATGTCGCCAACAAAGTCGAACCGTCTGATGTCAAGGAGCTGCCGCCGACACCGCGTGAGGAAGGCCCGCAGCCAGTTTGGGTCTTGACTGAGGGGGAGTCCACGGTTCGGCACCATAACTCGGATCTTGGTCGGTGTGCTGAGACGACGTTGAGGCTGCATGCCGCGTGAATTGTGGATAACGGATGCGGCCAGGTCAATCCTGCGGATGCCAGGCTTGCAACAGCTTGCCACCGAGGTGTAGAAAGTCCAGGACACCCTCAGCGGTGTCGGCACCAGGGGTAGCGGTGGTTTTGGGCTCAGGGAGACTAATTTCCAAGCCCTGCACCTTTGTCTTCTGCCACGGTAGCGAGGTGTTTTCTCCCTCGCCTGGTATACGTGAGGTCGTGGGTCCAATCTCGACCCTGACGCCTGTATATTTTAGGTTCTCCCCGTGGTCGCGTTGATTTTTCTCCAGGTCCTCCGTTTTTTTCCCTTTCACATTTGAGAATCAACGTGCTTTTTCAGTATGTGGCTGCTATAAATGTCCACGTGATAAGCCACGTGATCACTTGTGATGGCCAGGTCGCTTCTGGAACAGAGTTACGTAGCTCAGTGGGGCCTTACCCAGTGCACGCGACTTTGTGAAACTGGTGGAGTGCACCCTGGGGTCGTCTTATAGGGTGGGTTCACGAGCAGGGCTCTGCACACTGGACATCTGCAAAAAAGAGCTTGATAGCTCATCAGATTCTTCCAGTATACCTGCTATAATCACCCAGAAAAAGTCTGTCCTTAACGCTCGTGACGTCACTCCACATCGGCCAGCCCCCCTCATTAATATTCATGAGCAGGTGACGTCCTCCAAATGGACACCCCCCCACCCCTGATTAATAATCATGAGCGGGTGACGTCACTCAATATGGAGTACCCCCCCCCACTAATATAATCATGCACAAGTGACGTCACTCCACATCCAACAGCCCCCCTCATTAATAATCATGAGCAGGTGACGTTCTCCAAATGGACACCCCCCCCATTATTATTACCGACTATAATGAGCCAATAATGTCTGTGTGCAACACTCGTGACGTCACTCCACGTTGACCAGCCCCCCTCATTAATAATCATGACCAGGTGCCGTCACTCCACATGGAGCACCCTCCCCCGCATTAATAATCATGAGCAGGTGACGTCACTCCACGTCGACCAGCCCCCCTCATTATTAATCATTATAAGGTGACGTCCTCCAAATGGACACCCCCCCCCCACATTCATAATAATTAGCGGCTGACGTCACTCCACATAGGGGGGGGCGAGGCGCCTCCTCCCCCCTCCTCAGCGTCAACTCACAACCCTCACTACAAAGGCAGAACCCTCACGTCACGTGATCTCCGTCACGCTGTTGAGACATCAAAGTAAAAATGACGTCATAATGAACAAGGGATTATAACCTTTAAATGAAGTAAGTCTGTGTCACCACGCCCTTACAAACTGCACACGAATTGATGCAATGAATATATCACGTCGTGGTCTGCTTTTCTCTTGCAAGTTTTAGATTTACTGCAGTACACCCGTCCTTGGACGGGCAAAAGGCGAGTATACAAATATTCTGAGAATAAAAAATTCTGCATCGTCAGCGTGGTTCGGGTCATAGAATGACTGGACTGGTCTCCCGTTATTCCGAAGGATGTAGACCTTAGCTCTGATATCCAATTCCCGCTACAAAGTGAGGCTGGAGCGTGCCTTTTAGTAGGTTACTTTGCCTTTTTAATGTGGTGCCCAATCGCTGGAATGTTGCAAGCGCCTCATTACAGCTGCTAAATCAAAGAAGCAAAGACACGCGCAACATTGCTGTTTGAATTGCTTGAGAATGCCAGGCGAACGGGGTGGACTTACGCAGGATTCATACTGAGCTCGCCAAGTCGAGTCACCACTGGCAGCGCTGATCCAGCGGTGGAAGTTCTATGTTGCCATGGCGGGGGCCAGTCTCCTCACAGGGACAACCACTTCTTGGCACGCCAGAAGTATGGTGATGCCACGTGACATGCGAGGCGTGAAGGGGCCTATCCTTCGGTCACGATCGGTCCTTTGTCCGTCCAGAAACCACCTCCTGCGTGCAGGATGACGCCTCGTAAGCGTGACCGGCCGAGCCAACCCCTGGCCCGGCTTTGAACTTTTGACCTCCCCCCGCCGCTTGTAACCGCAGCTGCAACCGCAGTGCCACTCGACTGGATCTCCGTAAACGATCCCCAGGTTCAGCTCCCGGCCATCGGCGTGCCGGCCGGTCGGCACGCCGGCCGGGGCTAACGGCGATCCCCGTAATCGCGAACTCCGGCACTTTGTGTGCAACCGGTGAGGCCGGTGCTCCGGCGCTGGGCCCGTGGGTGCCTCCCCAGCGCCAACAGAAGCGCCCCTCCCCAAGGCTCGCCACCGTCGCAAGCAGCGGCAGCAGCAACAACAACAACTCCCAACCGGCAGCCGCTTCGTCGCCGGCGGCGATGACGACAACGCTCGCGGTAACGTTGGTGCGGATCAGGCCAGTGGAGGTGGCCACGGCGGCCGTGTTTACAATTCATCTGTCGACAGTCACCCCCCCCCCCCCCTCTTGCCTCCACTCCATTCACCTGCCAGCACCGACAGGAGTGGTGAAGTATGGTCAAATGACCACCTACGACCCGCTTGGCTGCTTGGGGCAGCCCTCATCCAGCAGTGAATTGACAAGGGGGCTGCATGAGTGAATCTACGCAGTAATAGAGGATTAAAGGGTTACGACTCCTGGCCTTTGGCTGTCTGGTTACAGGGACGTGTCACTGCCGACACTGTACGTGTTAATCGGAAGTGCGGGACGCTGACTGAGTGCACGCGCGTAGCCTGTGTGTCCGTGTGTCACCGTGTATTTGTGTGTCCATGTCACCGTGTGTCCGTGCATCATCGTGTGTCCATGTGTCTCTGTGTTTGTGTGTCCATGTCACCATGTGTCCTCTGTGTGTCACCGTGTGTCACCGTGTGCAGGAGTTGTTGGATAAAGGAGTCATAGGCGACGTGGTGCACATTCAGCACCTGGAGCCCGTGAGTGCGGTGCCAGCCACAGCCGTCGCTCCGCTGCACGTGCCACTACACGTGCTACTACACGTGCCACTACACGTGCCGCTACACGTGCCGCTACACGTGCCGCTACACGTGCCACTACACGTGCCCACGAAACGTGCCCACGAAACGTGCCCACTACACGTGCCGCCTGCTGTATATTTGGAGTTTGCTTGTTTCTCTCCCTGTGGTGGCGTGTTTTTTTTTCTCCCGGGTTCTCCGGATTTTCCCTCCACGTTTAGAAACATCCGTTGAGATCGTTTCGATTGCTTTGAGTAGTTGGCTGCTGTTATAAATGTCCAGGTCATGAGAAGCCACTTCGTTGAGCTGTAATTTGTGGCCAGGTCGCTTCTGAAAAAGAGCTGTTGTAGCTCAGTGGAGCCTTACCTGGTAAAATATTTAAAAAATTAATGTATTCGTATATTTTCAAGTGATTAGTTTACCTTTCCATACTTTGGACTCCTATTGTGTTTTTTGTATTGTTTGTTGTTGTAACGTTCTGACCCGCCCCTACTGGACATCTGTGAAAAAGAGCTTTATAGCTCATCGGATTCCTCCAGTATAGATACAGTGTGTTCTCCTATAACGTGATAGTTGTTGCGTTCCTGAAGAACACCGCGTTATAGAGAAATCGCGTTATAATAAATCATGTATAGTGCAGGGTAAAGCACAGTCCGCAATAACTCGTGAGGTGCGTAACGCAGGCTGAACAAAGGCCGAGGCTGCGTGGGTAGCATCCAGCAGCATCCCACTGCCTCGTGCGATGCTACGCCGAGACAGCCGTGCGACCTCTGATTCCTACTCGCGTGGCGACGTAGGTTCCGTTCGCTCGATTGCGTTACATCCAATTCACGTCTCATCCCTCGCCAGAATGCATTCGTCGCGTTCTATCCGATTCGCGCCGTGAGACAACCTGCCCTGGCGCGCACGCCTGTGCCCGCCTGTGCCCGCCTGTGCCCGCGCGCAGGTCGGCCACTTCCACTTTGCTCACTCGTTCGTGCGCGGCAACTGGAGGAGGGAGGACGAGAGCTCCTTCTCGCTCCTCGCCAAGTCCTGCCACGACCTGGACCTCATCCTCTACTGGCTCGAGGGGAAGAGGTTCGCGAGCCCTCGCCTGGCTTTAATTCCCTTTTTCCGCTGATCGCTCCCCCACCACCCCCACCCTCCGAAATCGTTGCACAGTTGACGGGCGACCTCCAAGGTAACTTTCTCTTACAGCCGTCGTCATCGTCGTCATAATCACCACACCTGCCACCAGCACGGTCGGCTACGTTCAGCGTACCGGTACATACGTACATGATCGTACATGATCCATGAATCCTCTAGCCAATCCAACCGGAAACAAGCGCTGGATTGGCTAGAGGATTCGGAGAGGAGCAGGCGGGGGTTGTGGTTACCGTTGCAACGGTTGAGACAAGGTTCTAGAAGGTTCTAGGAGGTTCTAGAAGGTTCTGAGAGGTTATAAAAGGTTCTAGGAGGTTCTAGAAGGTTCTAAGAGGTTCTAGAAGGTTCTAGGAGGTTCTAGAAGGTTCTAGGAGACGAGGCAGAGGACAGAACGGGCGTGATGGGAGAGCTGTGGGGGAGGGGGGTGCCTTGGGGGTGTCCCCCAGGGGTAGCCTGCTGATGGTGCGCAGTGTTAACGGGGGGCTGTGTGGCGGCGTCGGCTTGGTGTGCTCTGGGACTGTCCTTGCTGCTGTCGTTTTGGCTGCCTTGGCCAAGCTTGGCAATTTGAACTCATATACTTGATCTATTTTGCGTAAAAAAAATTTTTGTGATTTGATTACCTTTCCTACACTTCACACTCCGCACGTGTTTTTTCGAATTTGTTTTGTCGTTGCAACTTCCTGACACCGCCCCCCCCCCCCCCTCGTGCCCCTGCTGCTGGACATCTGTGAAAGGGAGCTTCACAGCTCATCAGATTTCTCCAGGATAAATAAAGAATTCCGATTCTCATGCGACGTCTCGGAAAGCTGCGACCGGGTCCGACCTTGAGTGGCGCAGCTCGCACAGCTAGAAACTTGATCCACCTGGACAGAGAGAAGCTTTGTGGGCCCTGCAGAAACTCAGCTAGAAACTTGATCCACCTGGACAGAGAGAAGCCTTGTGGACCCTGCATCAACACAGCTAGAAACTTGATCCACCTGGACAGAGAGCAGCCGTTTGGGCCCTGCAGCAGCTCAGCTAGAAACTTGATCCACCTGGACAGAGAGAAGCCGTGTGGGCCATGCAGACACTCAGCTAGAAACTTGATCCACCTGGACAGAGAGCAGCCGTGTGGGCCATGCAGACACTCAGCTAGAAACTTGATCTACCTGGACAGAGAGAAGCCTTGTGAGCCGTACTCAGCTAGAAACTTGATCCACCTGGACAGAGAGAAGCCTTGTGGACCATGCATCAACACAGCTAGAAACTTGATCCACCTGGACAGAGAAAAGCCTTGTGGACCATGCATCAACACAGCTAGAAACTTGATCCACCTGGACAGAGAGAAGCCTTGTGGGCCTTGCAGATACTCAGCTAGAAACTTGATCCACCTGGACAGAGAGAAGCCGTGTGGACCCTGCAGAAACTCAGCTAGAAACTTGATCCACCTAGACAGAGAGAAGCCGTGTGGGCCCTGCAGAAACTCAGACCCTGCCCCCCCCCCCCCTTACAGGAGCCGGTTTATACAATAACACGAATAATAATAATGATGATGTACAGGGTGCTTAAAAAAATGTTTTAACACTTATATGGGACAATCGTTTTTAATGGAAAAATAACTGATAATACACTGTAACGTGATAACAAATGTGTGCTAATAGCTTCAGAAAATCATTGTCAGCGCATTGCCTGGAAAATTCTCCAGGTGGCCTCCAGAGCCCGGAGGCAGCACATTTCTTGTGGTGTTGTTGCAAATTCTCCGAATTGTTAACATTTTTTGAAGCACCCTGTACTTTATGTATCGAGGAAGGTCTTACGCAGAAGGGCAGCTACTTCGGGATTCTGGATCGTTTTCTAACGGGATTCTGGATCGTTTCTTTCAGGATTCTGGATCGTTTCTTTCAGGATTCTGGATCGTTTCTTTCGGGATTCTGGATCGTTTCTTTCGGGATTCTGGATCGTTTCTTTCGGGATTCTGGATCGTTTCTTTCGGGATTCTGGATCGTTTCTTTCGGGATTCTGGATCGTTTCCTTGCTGAGCATTTTTGGCTGTGGGAGGAATCCAGAGCACCGAGAGAGAGAGAAAGGAGTTTAAACGTAAACCGTGCGTGCAACCCATCGGGTGAACTCTCTCGACAGCCAGATGAGGCCCTCCTAGGCGAATTGCTCTTCAGCAAGGGTGATCCGGGCTTCGGGGGGGCATCTGACGTGCTACGAAGTACGACACTGCATCGAAACGTCGCCTGTTATATATTCACTCATGTTTCTTTTCGAGGCCGCACGGTGTTTGATGCACAGACGGAGGCGCCGGGAAGACGCCATCCAGCAGTGGATCAGTGACCAGGGCCCATCGCTGGGCGGTGCCGTGAGGTGGCGGCTACGGCCCGGCTGACGCTCTCTCCGCTCGCCCCGCTTGTGTCGTGCTCCCCAGGTGCCTCAAGGTGTCGTCGTTCGGCGCCCTCTGCCACTTCACCAAGGAGCACCAGGTACCGCTCTCGCCGGGTGTGTGTCGATGGGTCTCTGTGTGAGTCTACGGGTCTCTGTGTGAGTCTATTGGTCTCTGTGTGAGTCTACAGGTCTCTGTGTGAGTCTACGGGTCTCTGTGTGAGTCTACGGGTCTCTGTGTGAGTCTACGGGTCTCTATGAGAGTCTACGGGTCTCTGTGTGAGTCTGTGGGTCTCTGTGTGAGTCTACGGGCCTCTGTGTGAGTCCACAGGTCTCTGTGTGAGTCTGCGGGTCTCTGTGTGAGTCTACGGGTCTCTGTGTAAGTCTATGGGTATCTGTGAGTCTACGAGTGTCTGTGTGAGTCTACGGGTCTCTGTGTGAGTCTACGGGTCTCTGTGTGAGTCTATGGGTCTCTGTGTGAGTCTACGGGTCTCTGTGTGAGTCTATGGGTCTCTGTGTGAGTCTACGAGTGTCTGTGTGAGTCTACGGGTCTCTATGAGAGTCTACGGGTCTCTGTGTGAGTCTATGGGTCTCTGTGTGAGTCTACGGGTCTCTGTGTGAGTTTACGGGTCTCTGTGTGAGTCTATGGGTCTCTGTGTGAGTCTACGGGTCTCTGTGTGAGTCTATGCGTCTCTGTGTGAGTCTACGGGTCTCTGTGTGAGTCTACGGGTCTCTGTGTGAGTCTATTGGCCTCTGTGTGAGTCTATGGGTCTCTGTGTGAGTCTACGGGTCTCTGTGTGAGTTTACGGGTCTCTGTGTGAGTCTACGAGTGGCTGTATGAGTCTACGGGTCTCTATGAGAGTCTACGGGTCTCTGTGTGAGTCTACGGGTCTCTGTGTGAGTCTACAGGTTTCTGTGTGAGTCTACAGGTCTCTGTGTGAGTCTACGAGTCTCTGTGTGAGTTTACGGGTCTCTGTGTGAGTCTACGGGTCTCTGTGTGACTCTACGGGTCTCTGTACGAGTCTACGGGTCTCTGTGTGAGCCTACGGGTCTCTGTGTCAGTCTACGGGTCTCTGTGTGAGTTTACGGGTCTCTGTGTGAGTCTACGAGTGGCTGTGTGAGTCTACGGGTCTCTATGAGAGTCTACGGGTCTCTGTGTGAGTCTACGTGTCTCTGTGTGAGTCTACAGGTTTCTGTGTGAGTCTACAGGTCTCTGTGTGAGTCTACGGGTCTCTGTGTGAGTCTACGGGTCTCTGTGTGAGTCTACGGGTCTCTGTATGAGTCTACGGGTCTCTGTGTGAGCCTACGGGTCTCTGTGTGAGTCTAGGTGTCTCTGTGTGAGTCTACGAGTCTCTGTATGAGTCTACGGGTCTCTGTGTGAGTCTACGGGTCTCTGTGTGAGTCTACGGGTCTCTGTATGAGTCTACGGGTCTCTGTGTGAGCCTACGGGTCTCTGTGTGAGCCTACGGGTCTCTGTGTGAGTCGATGGGTCTCTGTGTGAGTCTACGGGTCTCTGTACGAGTCTACGGGTCTCTGTGTGAGCCTACGGGTCTCTGTGTGAGTCTACGGGTCTCTGTGTGAGTCTATGGGTCTCTGATTCTGTTGTTGTTGGCGGTCTGTAACTGTCCACTGCTGGGCACAAGCCTCCCCCTTTAATCTCCATGCCCTCCACTCCGCAGCTCCTCCTGTGCAGTCGTGGCCTCTGGCCTCTGCGATGTGTTCTCGCTGCTTCTCCTGCTGCCCTCTCTTCGGCGCTCTCCCTCCACTTCTCTTCCCTTCACTCGTCCCCCCGCACGGGCGTCCAGGGTGACTTTAGAGATTGTAATCATCAAACTCTGATGGGTGACGCAGGGCATCAGTCGCGCACAGGGCCGAACCACGGAAAACAACGGGAAACGAAGGTGAAATGGCACCGTCGATTCAGAATGAACACAAAGCAGAGCCAGGTGTATTAAACTATCGACTGCATTAGTCACGAGCGCAAAAACACCGTGCAGACGGAACTTTCAAAAGCGTCCGTGCTCGCCCCGTTGCGCTGGCAAAGAAGTTTTGTGATTGTAGTAACGTACCCCATAATGCAGGGCGGTGCGGGATGCTGCAGAGCAGTGTGGAACCGTGCAGAGCGGTGTGCACTGGTGCAGAGCGGTGTGCACTGGTGCAGAGCGGTGTGCACTGGTGCAGAGCGGTGTGCACTGGTGCAGAGCGGTGTGCACTGGTGCAGCGTGATGCAGAGTTTTGTGTAACTGCGCCGCGCGCTGCATTGCCGGTGCCTGTGTGTGGGCGAGGGCACGCGGGGGGGTGGTGGTGGCGGCCGCTCTGAGTCTGTGTCCGTGTCGTGCCGACCCCTCGCGTGCGTGCAGCCGCCAGGGGCGTCGTCCCGCTGCGTCGACTGCGCCCTGAGCGACGGCTGCGCGTACTCGGCCACCAAGTACCTGGCCATGGCCATGGGGGTGAGGTCACACGCACGCGCAAAGACAAAGATCCCCCCGTGTAGCCTTAACAGACTGTTGGGGCAAGTGCTGTTAGCGAGCACCTATGAAGGCCGGAACGGCACACGAGGGGGTTGGTGGCCAACACCACGCCGGGCCGCCTTTGTCTCCCCAGTGGCGATGTTTACTAATTGCACCAGGTACTCATTTGAGGCTGAGTCGACCTAGGGGAGGCCCAGGACCGGTTCATATAATCGTCACCGGTGTTGGCCGTGAGCGGGAATCGAACTCGGGTCTCTGCCGGGTTCGTAGCGCGTCGCGCTAACCGTTACGCCACCGTTCCCCACGCGCATACACACGCACGCACACACACGCACGCACGCACACACACGCACACACACGCACACACGCGCACACACACGCGCACGCACACGCACGCACGCACACGCACGCACACGCACACACACGCACGCACACACACGCACACACACGCGCTCGATCGCCCATGTAGGCGTGCGCGGGTGCACGGCTTGAGCGTTGTGTCCCGTCTGTAAGTAAGTTGGCACATGTATAAACCCAGATTACCACGAGTGCCTGGCGATTCACACCGGTGCTCGGCCCTTGGGGTAACTCGAATCCCTTTCATTCGGTGACGGTAAAGGCGCAGCCCCCGCAGTTGTCCACTGTGGCCACTGCTGGGGCAAGCTCCTGGGAGCTCCCTCGAGAGTGGCATTTGGTTTACTCTTCTGCGCTGGACAGATGTCTTTGAACTAAACTAAAATCTACTAAACAGTTTTTTTTTTTATAGCAGCCAAATACTCTCCACACGTGATGTTGATTCTATTTGTGGAGGGAAGAATGGGAGGACTCGAAGAAAAATCTACGCGACCATGCAAATCTCGTCAGGGTCGGAATCGAACCTACGACCTCCTGTATACCAGGCGAGGTAGTTAACATCAGCCACCGTGTCATCTTTGAAGAGGTGGTTAGTACCCACACTTTACCCCATCACAAGCAACCTGCTAATCGACGATTACAGCTGCGGTGTTACCGTCTATACCGCTGGGTGCGGACAGAGGTGGGGTGGCGATCCCTTCACAGGAATGTGGAATTTCCATCACCGGCTTAGGACAGCCGACGGAGGATGGCGTTGCCCATTGCCTTGACTCGCGGGAGACACTTGGGGGTGCAATTCGAACGCCGTCGCTCCTCCCCGTGACCTCCGACGATGGCGGCGAAGGTCACCCGTCTGGGCGGCGCTCCGCACGGGAGCCCTGGACCCCACACTCCGGGGGGGGATAGTGGGAAGCCGCCGCTGCTACTCCTGCTGCTACTCCCGCTGCTTTTTGCCGCTTGCTTCTGTTGCTGCGGCTTGCTGCTGCTGTTGCTACTTGCTGCCGCGTGCTTCTACTGCTGCGGCTTGCTGCTGCTGTTGCTACTTGCTGCTGCTACTTGCTGCTGCTTGCTGCATGCGACTGCTGCTGCTGCTGCGTGTTGCTGCTGCGTGCCACTGCTTATGCTACTGTTTGCTACTGCAGCTGCATGCGACTGCTGTTGCTGCGTAATACTGCAGCTGCTGCTTCGTGTTGCTGATGGAGCGGCCGTCTCCGTGGTGCCCGGCGCTCCGTCGTGAACGCCCCCCCCCCATCCCGCTTCCTCCACCCATTGTCGATTCCATCGATCAGTCCTCACGCGCCGCCCGATGATCGCTATGATTCCTCGGCGGTTTCGTTTAATTCCCCCCCCTCACCACCAACAACAACCGTCATTCGCCACTACGTGGCGGTGACGTCACCACGACGCCTGTGCCAGGCTATGTGCATGGTGAGGCCACGTCAAATGTCGAACGCCCGCTGGCACGAGGTCACGGGGCAGACCCAGGTGCCACGGGTCGACTGACTGAGATGACCGGCTGATGCACCACCTGTGCCCTCTACTGTGCCAACCTGCTGTGCTTTAGCCACCCGACGCTCCGCTCGTTGTTGTGAGCGTCGCTCCTCCCCCCTCCGTTGTTGTTGGAGGGCGACTGCCTCCAACTACCCAGTAGCGTCCTTCACGAGCTTCCTCTACAGAGGTCAATCTTGACACCGCTGGTACCAGTCATCCGCAAGTCCACTCAGCTCCACATCCTCCTGTACCACATCACTCCATCTCTTCTCTAGCCCGTGCCGCGCCCATTTAGTCCCCTTGATCCGGCCGAACAAAAGCTGTTTAGGCATGCGGTGGCTGGGCATGCGGGCTACATGACCCAGCCAACGCAGCCTTGCCTAACGGAGGAGCTCACCGATGGGACTTTGTCCAGATCTTTCAAGGATATGTGAGCTCCTCACACAATCTAGCCTGGTTGAACCCAAGATGGATCGTAGGCAGGCGAGCCTATATGTTTCTAACCGGCGAAGATGTTCCATTAGGGGGGGTCCAAGTTTTGCAAGCATAGAGAAGGGAGGGAATGATTGTGGCCGAGAAGACCTGAAGCTTCGTGTGGAGCGACAGACCAGGTAGCTTCCACACAGCGTTACGCAACCGATGAAAGGATAATGCCGCTCGACTGATTCGGAGTGAGACCTCTGCTGTCAAACTGCAGCCAGTCATGAGCACACTGCCCAGGTATAGAAAACTCTCCACTCTCTCCACAACTGCCCTATCAGCAATTGGGAGTTGTGGGGGTGGTGTGTCTAATGGTACAAAATACCCAGGCAGGTGCTTAGTTTTGGTGGGGCTGATGGTAAGGCCCCACCTCTTAGTGGCAAGCTCCAGGTTCAGTAGCAGCACCTCCAACTTCTCCTGAATGAGCAGCTATTACCAAATCATCGGCATACATAACGTGGTTGAGCAATAGGCAGACATCCCTTGACCGCACCCGGGTATCGATCATCCTCCCATTATATCTGTACCAGATGGAGATTCCACCAGTACAGCTATTGAAGGCTTCACGAACTACGGGGTTGAAATAGATGTAAAATAATGTGGGAGCCAGAGGACATCCCTGTCGCACCCCAAAGTGAACAGGGAATGGCTCCGACTCCCGGCCACGTAGTTTTACTCGGGCCCTCTCACCATCACGAAGGTCTTTAATGATCGTGAGCAGCGGGTCAGGGACTCTGAAAGCACGAAGACCAACCCAGAGCCCAGGCCTACTGACGTATCATAGGCCTTGACCAGGTAAATAAAGCAGAGATGCAGGCCTTGTTGGAATTCCCTACACCTCTGCTGTAGCAGACGGACAGAAAAGATGGCATCTGTGCAGGACTGCCCTTTCCTGAAACCACATTGGGGTTCTGCAAGCCTCTCCTCAGCGTGCCTGGCAAGGTGATGTTGAATAATCCTTGTCAGGACCTTTCCTGGCACACTGAGGAGTGAGATGCCCCTGTTGTTGTTACAGTCTGTGTGGTCCCCCTTCTTAAAGAGGGGGACCACCAGGACATCCTTCCAATCCTGCGGAACCCGTCCAGTGGTCCAGATTGTTCTTATGATATCATGTAGGGCAGTCTGTGGACAAACGCCACCCTCCCTCAGCATTTCGCTTGGGAGATCTCTGCCCGGTGCCTTTCCTGGTCTCAGACTCCGGATCGCCTTCAGTACATCTTCAACAGATGGCACCTCAGCCTACCACTCACAGGGGGTGACTTCTTCTTCCAATATTTGAGGTATCAGAGCCTAAGCAGGGTCATCCCCACTTTGTCCCACGATTTTTTCCAGGCTGAGGGATTTCCTCTTCCCCAGGACTTCATAGAACGTCAGCAAATTTGCAAACCTGTTCCTGGGGGTTGGAGATTAGATCACCGTTCTTTCTCTTAATGATGGTAATAGGTGTGGTGCTGCAGGTTACTGAGCGATTTATGATCGCAAGCCATTGAGGCAGACTCCATCTCCTCAGCAACCCGCCACCACCAACCATCCTTGCAGCGCCTCACGGCTCTCCGAACCTCCGAGCGAAGGTTGCGGTAAGCCTCCTCATTCTCTGATGTGGGATGCTGTAAGACGATGAGAGTGGGCCTTTTGCTCTTTCTCAGCCAGCCTGAACACCTCCTCTGTCAGCCAGGGTCTGTAAGGAGGTCTGGACCATATGCTCAAAGCAGCCATTGCAGCTGCATGAGCCACAGTCCTAAACCTCGCCCATTTCCCCTCAACATCAGGAGTGTGGGATGATGCCAACCCCAGCCGCAAGCGATGATGAAATTCTCGCTTGCAACTTTCATCAGCTAGCTGAGACCATGCCACTATGGGTTTGAATGTTTGTCCTGGGTGTACACCCACCACCGGAGTGGAAGAATGGCAAGCGCATCTTACAGATGACAAGTCGATGGTCAGTGGGCAGATCAGCTCCACGGAAGATCCTAGTGTCAAGAACATGGGCCCGCATCCGCTGTTCCATCACTATGTAGTCCAGTAGATGTTCTTGCTTGGACCCGGCATGCATCCATGATGTTGTGTGGATGCGCCGATGCCGGAACAGCGTGTTGGTAATTACAAGCCCATGGGCTGCACAAACATCTAGCAGCCTCCTACCGTTGTTATTGAGCTGATCTGCCCCATGTCTTCCAATCACTCCAGACCAGGTGCTAACATCATGACCAACTCGGGCATTGAAGTCACCCAACAAGATGACTCGATCCCGAGGGGCCACTTTAGCCAGCAGGAGGTCATAGAAGGCATCGGCCTCATCGGCCTTGTCTGCATCCCTCCACGGATGTTCATCTTCGATGGGGGCATAAGTAACCACGACCACCACTCCTCGCCTCTGGTTGATGGGAAGGCGCGCCCAAAATAGCCTGGGGCTTACAGCTTCCCACACCTCACCGCCACGCTCCCACTCCCCCTTCATTATTTTGTTCAGAACAAGAGCCACTCCTTGTTGTTTGGCAGTCTCCTGCTCTGAGTAGAGGACTGTCCACCCCTCATGGTGGCAGGAGTCAGAGCCGGTCCACCGGATTTCCTGAATACCACATAGATCCAGGAGGTACCGGTCCAGCTCCCGACAGAGGAGTGACAGCCTCTCCTCCGCAGTGAGCATTCGGACA